TCAGGTTGAACGAAAATATCCTTATATTTTTTTTTATTCATTGAAAATGGAAATCGGGTCAATTTGCCCCGAACACCACACAAGGGTTAAGATCCAGTTCTCCTGCATCTTCATCATTTCCAGTCAATTGCTCCAGATGTCCTTCGCAGCTAGGGAGAGGGTGTAGGGGCCGGATTGGAACTGGGCCTGAATCTCTCTTTTGACCCTTTCAGTGAACAACCACATGAGAGTGAAGGAGTGCACCACTAAAGATGATGCAGTGTGTGGGTGTTTGAGCGGTTTCTACTGTACAGAGGAGAAGTGTGAACACTGCAGGCCAGCCACCCGCTGTGCTCTGGGTTCAGGGGTCACAGTTCAAGGTAGGCTTTTAATGTTAAACATTTCCTCACGTTCAAACACAGTACAAATGAGCAACTGATTAAAAAAAACACTATTTCTCTTTCAGCTACTCACACAAACGACACAATCTGTGCTCCGTGTGAAGACGAGACGTACAGCAACAAGTCAGATTTCTCCGCCTGTCTCCCCCACACCAGGTCAGACGGCGTCTCCATGGCAGCCTTTATCGTTGTTATTATGAAAGCTGAAGGAGGATGTTGATGTATGAACAGTAATCTGCATCATTCATCCGACAAGATACGGCCAAAACTACGTATAGCGACAGCAGGAAACAAAGCCAGTCGCTGAGGCCGGGCCTGTTTGATGTTGTATGACACGCTAAAAAAGTACTTGCTGAGATCAAAAGCTCTGATTCATCGTATTGTAGTTTAATGACAAAAAACTCGGTGATCAGACACAGACATTGTTATAATAATCAAAGCAATCATAAATCTTGCGGTCAACAAAAAAGTACAACGGCCCTGTGTCACCCTCTCTTCCACACACACACACCTCACGCAGGTGAACAGGATTATAATGAGTGCCGCCCATATCCATGTGACCCAAGCCAACCAATCAATAGTGATCAAACAAATATCTTATATTAAAACATAAAGGATTAATAAACACGTTTCATGGCTCCTACACTACGGGTTTTTGTGGGCAGACATCTCTGCTGATCTTATCAAGTGGTCTCATTTGATTTAAAACGCTTTTATTGGTTATACGTCCAACAGTCAGTGTTACTGGGACAAACTTAAAACATTCCCTTAGCCCCTCCCACAAAAAAAAGCAGAATAAAAGACCCTCATATACTACAATCATCTTCTATATCACTTGTATGTCTGTAACAACGATGCTAAGCCTAATGTAAAAGTCTTTCAAATGTTTTTGTGTTTGTTATTTTTCAGATGTGAGAACTTGGGAAGGGAATATAAAACCTTAGGAACCCTAAAAACTGATGCTACCTGTGGCGACTTCATATCTCGTAAGGCTACATTTTTTGCATTAATGCCGTCATTACAAATCTGAATGATATCTTCAGATTCTTGAGTTTCAGTTAGTTAGTGCTGTGTATCATATTACAAAGCTTTTGAGAGAGGAAGTAAAGCTGATGGTAATCATTCCTGTTACAAAAACATCACTCGTCACCGGCTTGAACTTCAATATCAGGACCTTTATTATCCTTGCAAGAATGGAAGTAGTCATCACACACGAGGTTGCATGGGACAAAAGAGGTAGTAGAGTCCTTGATATGCGTATATACAAGAGAGGGAGTTACAGTCAACAAGATGGAAGAAAACCGGTTCAAAGCAGTATTCTTTCTGATTAGTTCAGATTAGCTAAGGCCTGCGTAAGCAATACACATGACAGTCATATGTCTATCTGTCGAGTGACTGTGTCATCATGCCAGTCTTAGGAACATAGCTATCGTAACTTCAACACAGTGTCTCACGAGCGTCATGAGTCATACATGCGGCTACGTACACAGCTAGGTAGGGCCTCTGTTGTCATGTGCTACTCTGATATAGAATGAACATTCAGTATTTTCCCAACAATTCCCAAGGCAGATGTGGCAGAAAAAGGTTTACTTCACACTCACAACTTTTCCATTTTGTAGTTTAATGTTGACACGCTGTTGAGAAATGTTAAGATGTCTCTAATGAGGGTAGCTTTGGGTTAATTGTGTCGTACCATAATTGACGAATACCGGAAATAAATAGAAATGGAATGTATTCTTTAATCGTGAAGTTTTTTTTGGAATATTTTTAGAAAGGCCTTTTAGTTATTTTAATCACATTACCGTAGAACATTGATAATGAGGAATCAAGGGAGTTTTCACTCACTTAAATTCCCAGAACTTAAGTAATTAGAACAAGTTGAAACGTATTTATGTCGCACTAAAATCCCCTCAGATTGTCACTGGATGTTACCTGCCGGTCTGTGGTCAGGACTCGTGTTGACCGCGCTCATCCTGTTTGGTCTGGTGTGCTGGAGGGGAAAGCGAAAATGTTACAAAGCAGGTCAGTACAACATGTCAAATGTGTGTGGTTTTTGTTCTAATTGTTCTGGTTGAAAGTCTTCCCGAAGAGGTGACGTGCAGGCATGCCCACTCACTCTGAGTACATCGCATGTGAGCCACAACAAAGACCTGCTAAGTGTACAGTTGAACGTCACTGCAAATATCCTTCAGACATGCCCTGCCCACTGCTTCCTTTTTTACACTCAATGCATTTTAATCTGAGTATGGTCAAATTAAACTTACAATACTTGGTCTGTTAATTTACAAAAAGAAAAGTTTGATCATTTTTGAGTAAGGGTTTAGGGTTAGGGTTAGCTGTGTGATAACATGATGTTAAACACGCTCAGTGAAGATGACAAGGAGGAAACCACATCCTGTAGGTTCAGCCTGACAGACTTATTCGGTATAATGTGACGCAAACTTCACAGGCACTAGCTCATACTGAGACAGGCTCCTACGCACAGTAAATGCCGATGTTTTGACGGACGCTGTTTTTGTATTTCATTTATGTTATTTCCAGTGAATGGATGTGTCAATACCGGAATTTACAGAGGAAAAACAAGAATCAAAAGATCTTCAGGTTTCACTACTAGTTTGAAAGTCCAGTATGAGACTCACACAAAGTGATGTGAATGGGCTCAGAGTGGGAGAAATGATAAGAACTGTGAAGTGAAATTATTGAAATGAAACTCATTAACATCTGATTTGCATTGAGGCTGTCGTAAAGGTAAGTGAACATTTGTGGAAAATCATATCAGACAAAACATACTTATTTTTTGTTTAGTATTTATTTGCCTTACCAACAAGCCTTTTTTTTTAAGTGATTTTTTTTAAACAGCTTGTACATATATAGGGTGTCAAATTATTTCTTGATTCGCATATATATTTGTCTCTTCTTTTTTCCTTGTTGGTTAGTTTTTCTGCCCTTTATTTAAGGTGTATTTTTTATTAATCATGAAAGCTTTGTTCCTTTTCTTTCCCCTTTTTTGTTATTCTATTTCTTCTGTCGTATATGTCTGTGGCTTCTTAATCTTTCCTCACACACATTTGATGGATTTTACAGTTTTATTTGTAGAGAAATTAAATGTAAAAAAGAACTTGGCACTAGGAGGCAAACATCTGCATTTTGCTGAATAAACAAGTTGATACTTTTTCCACCATAACAACGTGACACCATTGGAACATATCCGAGTCAAATCTGACTTGTTCTTTTTTACAGAGAAAAAGGAAAAGGCATTTTTGAAACCACCTTTCAAGACTACAGGAGGTGAGTGTTTGCACTTAAAACATACATGAGAGCACAGTCAAACTTTAGTAGTGAGACACACTAAGCTTTTGTGAACTACAATATAACAGGGCTGTTCATATATATATATAAAAGAAGAAGTATGAGGATTGAGGAACCTTTCCTCAGTTATGTAGATTTGAGATAATAGCTTGTGGGAGATTATAGTGACCCCCAATGGCCAATCAGTATACATTTGTCCCGAATATAAAATACTATGTTCCAAATTAGATGAGGTATAATAATGATTGTAGGATAAATTCCTTGTGACAATGATTCTGAGTAATCCTATGGTGTGTTTAAGCTATTTGTGGTGTGGTTCCTGTGTGACAGGCGGCAATATATCCATTTCTCTGATGGAGATGTTTCCAGCAGCACCCTTCACTCAGCTGCAGCCTTTAGCGCAGAATGGACACTGCCAGGAGACCTCAAATGTACCACTGTTCAACCCAGGTGAGAAACGCCAAATGCATCCACGTTTATATTATGCAAGCCAATGCATTTTACATGTCTTTATACGAGATTTTAACAGTAAAACGTGACTGGAAATGATAGAGACAACATGCACAGATAGTCCCAGATCTTGTACTTCAGTAAATGTAGAAGTACCAATGTGTAGGAAAACTCTGTTACAAATAAAAGTCCTGCATTCAAAGTAAAAAAAAAAGAAAGTATTAGCATCAGAATATACTCAAAGTACCAAAAGTAAAGTACTCATATGCAGATTGGTCCATTTCAGAATACTATATATGATATGTTTTATAATGATTGATCTTTAAAGTGTTCTCAAAGCTGGTAAAGGTGCAGCTAGTTTGAATGACTTTGTATACTGCAGGGTAGCTTGTGGATTTACTCCAGGTGGAACTCAAGTCTGATTTAATTGATGACCATACAGGACTGTCTCAGAAAATTAGAATATTGTGATAAAGTTCTTTATTTTCTGTAATGCAATTAAAAAAACAAAAATGTCATACATTCTGGATTCATTACAAATCAACTGAAATATTGCAAGCCTTTTATTATTTTAATATTGCTGATTATGGCATACAGCTTAAGAAAACTCAAATATCCTATCTCTAAATATTAGAA